TTTTTTTTTTTTTTTTTTTTTTTTTTTTTTTTTTTTTTGGTGCCAGAGATCAAACTCCAGCCCTTGTGTTTATGAGGCAAACACCAGAACCACCGAGCTAAATCCCTGGCCCTTCAAAAAGCACTTTGAACAGGCACAGTATCAGACCATTCCCACTCCTGTCTCCCCTCAAAGGGTTTTCTGGTGGTTTTGATTCCAAGATGGTTGCCCACTTCTCTAAAACTCAGCAAGAGTTAGGCCTTAACCATTTGATTGTGGAAGTGTGTATGTGCAAGCAAATAGTGGGACCTGGTCCTTGAATCACAAAGAAGTTTCTGTCTGCTCACCTAGTGAATTGGCCCCATGAGTCGATCTAAAGCTGAGAACTGAGTTGCTATTTTGGCCATGAACTTTAAGTGGGTTAAGGGTTTTTTGTTTGTTTGTGGGAGTATTTTTGTCTTTGTTTTTGTGTTGGTGGTAATAGTACTATAGATCAAAATCAGAGCCTTTGAACTGAGCTCCATCCCCAACCCTTTTTAAATTTTGAAACAGGGCCTCACTAAGTAACTTAGTTCCCCAGGCTGTGTTCAAACTTGGGATTCTCCTGCCTCAGCCTCTCAGAATGTTGGGCTTATAGACGTGTATCACCATGCCCAGCTTTCAGTGGGGCTTAAACTACTCCAAGCTTTTAGGTCTGTGAGTGAGTGAGGATTCTGGGAACTCTAATTTTCAGGTGAGTGAGTGAGGGTTCAGAGAATGCTGCTGTGGCTATTTGCCAAAATTACTTCCTGAAAGGTGCTCTCTCTGCCTCTTACCAGAGACATAGATGGAAGGGTCCCAAAAGGTCACACAATGAAATATCTGTCTGGGACACCATTTGACAAGGTTCTAGCACATCCTGGCAGGTTACCACTTTGGCCACTTCTCTGCTGCAAAAGGACCCTTGTCATGCCTTCAAACAAAGTATAAGGCATTGTTTGTCTGCTGTCAGTTATAGCCCTCCATTTTCTGTGCTAGTTCCTTAGGGGACACTGTGTGAAAAGACAGTCTCTACCTTTGCAAATATTTATTAAACAAATAAATTATACAGATAAACACTCAAGTAAATTTTGATAAATGCATGAAAATATGTATGGGAAGGGATGTTAGAATAGGGTTAACCTAGCTGGCATTTATGGGAAGCTTCTTTTAAGAGGTGACTGTCAACTGAAGCCTAAAGGAAAAGACTGAATAAGAGGAGAATGAGGCAAGAAGAATCTTGGTGCCCTAACAAAAACAAAAGTGATCAGTGATGCGAAGTGTAGTAAGCCCAGGGAAGAATTTCACAGAGGAGGCTAGGGAGATGGAAAAGAAGGAAAGCAACTCCTCCTTTACCACCATTCTAAGTCCTATCTGAATAATCTCACCCTCTAAAAAAGTGCTGACTGAGTCCCATTCAAACTGCCATGGCATGGCCTGTGGGTCAGGCTCATGCCTGTGCCCACTCTGTCATACAGGGAACTCTCAGGAATGTGCTGAAAGAGGCACTTCAAGTTTCAGCTTGGGGATCACACAGATGGAGTGGCCTTCACCTAGCAGCACAGCTCAGAGAAAGGAGGGAGGAGTCAAGAAAGACCAGGTACTCACTTTCCCTACAAATCCTCTCCGTATGTTTTTCCATAGCTTTGAACTGTTTATTAATTAATACACGACAGAAGCCATTTCCTATTAGATGTTTCCACTGGGAATGCCACACACCCCCCCGTCCTGAGGTAGATTTAAAACACATCAGCTTTCAAGATTTTATACTTGGACGTCCTAAACTAAATTACATTACTATGTCCGGTGAGACGGCTCCATTGCCCATTCCTATCTGCATGCTCCAGGCACCATAAGGCCGATAACATCAGCGAATCAAAGCAGCTCAATCCAGTCAATTTGCTGTTGGCTGGAGCTGAGCCAGAGGTATGAGGGTGAGAATGCAAAATTCTCTCAGAATCCAGAGCAGCATGACATTGATTGTGGACTGACATCTGAGATTTTGGGGTGCTTTCTGTATATCATTTCTCATTTTTTTAAAGTGAGAACTTGTCTTAGCCCCACCTTTTGTAGCAAGGAGCTGAAAATTACTCTCCTAAACATGGAAGTAGGATAAAATCACCAGTAATCCCACACTCAGGAGGTTTTCATTAGAGTGCAAGACAGACAGAAGTGGGGAAAAAGTAGAAGTCATAGTATGAAAAGGGCAGGTTCTTACTACCTGTGAAATTATATGTCTTTTTAAAATCCAAGACAAAAGCGACTACTTTGTGTTTCCTTAAAGCCCAGTGAAGGTCTTATAGAATAGCTGAAGAGAAAATACTGCTGACTTTTCAGAAGTAGTAGCTTTTGGAGTTTCCTAATTATAACCAAGATTTAACTCTACAGACAAGCATTCCTCTTGTAGCAAAATATTTTCAACTTACTGGGTTATTTCAAATGTTTTAAGTATTATACTACATTCATTCAACTCTGACATCATTTACTGACCTATTTTGTAAATAGGCAAACACAAACTGTTCATGTACAAAAACATCGCTTTTTCAAAATTCAATTGGTCCCCAAGGTCAAGATTCTGGAGGAAGTCAATCCAACCTCATTGAAGATGCCAGGCCTCTTTCATAGCACAAGCCTGGCTATCTTGCACCCTGCTGGCCTGCCCACTTCTTCACAGGTTTCAGTGTTTGGATTCAGGAGACAGAACAGAGTTCTACCCCTAACTTTGGTTGCATATTTTTTGACTTCTGTGAGCACCATGGAGCCATGCTGTTTACTGACTGTGTTACTATACCTGAAAGTAAATCAATAATTAAGTCATGATTCTTTATTTGCCTGCTATTTGTTTTTACAGAAAGGTATTATTGAAGGTGTTAAAAGTGAGAAATCATGGTCACTGCATACAAGAGTATAGGTTTAAAAAAGAAGAGTAGAGGTTCCAAGGTCGGTCTTTCACTGGGATATTCACATTTGGTTAGGCAGGTGTTATGGGTTCTAAAGAATCTCAATGTGGGTTACTCTCCTGTCTGTCCTGGATTTCTAGGCCATTCCTGTTAAGTCTGTGCTGGTTTCCCAAAGACTAGAAGTCTACAGTTTTTGCTCTGCTGTGAGGAGAATGACCCAAAGCTAAGGCAGGGGATTCTAGTGAAGCCAGAAATTGGGACAAATACCCACCCCATTGCTTGCTATTACTTCTAGGTTTGCCAGACCCTGCTTAGCTGCCCTTGCCTTCAGCCTGCACTTCCTAAGGAGCAGCACATCTGCCATGATCTCTGGACCATGACTGGACTTCTCTACTGGAGGGCTTCCTTCTGTGGGATGTTTCAATCCTTCCAAAGATCAGACCCATAAATGTTGAGAAAAAAATAAAGATTTTGCTGAAATGTCAGAAAACCTGAGAATAAACAGTATGTCTTAAGTTCTCTTTCTTGACATCTTCAGACAGTTTGCCCTTCTATGCTAGCTCTTTCTCCTTAGCCTCACTCTGCAGTAGTCTCTTTAGTCATATAGCAAGAGTCCCTTCAGGACTCTCATTCTGTTTCCTCCCTATCTTACATTATTCTTCTCAAAATCCTGTCCTTTCCAAATATCCTTACCACTGGTCTTTCCCTGGTCTTCTATTCCTTTAACCATTGCTACCAGTCTTCCTCAATATACCTGTTCTATGTTGGTGATCCTCAAGTTTTTTCTCCAGCCCTTTGTATTTGTAGACATACATTCCTGGACAAAGCAAAGTCATTAATTAGAATTTGCTCTTGTTTCTGGTTTTTGTTGGTTTGTTTGTTTGTCCTTGTTTTGTCTTGTTTGGTTGATATCACCCTCATCTGAGTCAGGAGGAATCTGGAGTCATTCTTTTCCCTCATACCTAGATCCAATTAGCCACTAAGCCCCAGCAGCTTGATCTTGACATGGTTTTCTTCTCCATTCTCCCTTTTTACAACCCCATAGATGCTGCCTTTTCAAGTTCTTATAACCTCTTGCAGTGATTATTCTTTGGTGTCTCTACTTCCAGCTTCACCCTTCCTACCCATTCTATCAACATTGCTCTCAGACTGATCTGCCCGTATATATCCAAAATGGGCAAAAAAAGATCCTTCAATGGCTTCCCACTATTTCCAGTTAAAATATAAAGCCCAAGTGCTGGGGATTTAGCTCAGTGGTTTTGCTGCCTGCCTTGCAAGCACAAGGACCTGAGTTCAGTCTCCGGTACCCCGCAAAAAAAAGTAAAGCCCAAAACATGATTTACAAAGCCGTTCATGACTTTAAATCATCCTTCTAACCCATTCACATTGCCTGCCACTTCATGTCCTAGCATTGAACTTTCTAGCAAATGGAGCAAACCATTTGGCCTGCTATGTAGTCATGTAATCTTCCTCCCCACATCTTTCTTTTCCTTTTTTCTCCACTTCTTTCTCTGTCTGAGTCACTTCTGCATCCTGCTCATGCTTCATTTAAAAAATAATTACTGTGTTTAGTTTTTTGAGATAGGGTCTTGCTATATACTTCGGGCTGGACTTGAACTCACTCTTTAGCCTAGGCTGGCCCTAAACTCACGATGATTCTTCTCTTCAGTACAGCCTCCTGAGTACTGGAATTACAGTGTGCAGTACCACACCCAGCTTTGTGCTTCATTCTGGAGCTTTCTTTGGAGAAGTTATCCCTAATTCCCTAAAATAAGATAGGTGCGTGTATCCTGTACACTGACAGCACCCTATACAAACCTCTGTAATAGCATTTAGCATATTATGAAACTCATTCGTGACCTCATTCGTGACCTATGAGCTCTTCATGTACAGGAACCATATTGTCCTTATATGCTCCACACTTAGCCCCATCTCTAGAATACAGATTCCACTAAAATGTGGGGCCAAAACTGAATGTGGTGGCTGAGAAGCCTTTTATTTCCTTTTCTACACTTCTCTCTGCTTTCCTCTCCTGGGATAAGGATCCCCCATCCCCAGTGCTTTTTCTTTCTTGCTATTTCCTGCCAGTCTCTTTTCTCTGTCTCTGTCTTCCTGTCTCCTTCTCTCCCTCTGTTCTCTCTCTCTCTTCTCTCCCTCTCTCCCCCCCTCCATCTAGAGTTATTGATGGCTTCCATGGCTCCAATATTTCCTTGCTGTGGAAGTTATGGTGTGCTAGTAATCTCATGATTAATCCAGTGTCCCTGAGGAGGGACTAGGGATTGAAAGATGAACAAATTAGATTCAAATCACCTTCAAGGTTTGACTGAACATATTGCTTTACACAACCTGGTTCTTTAATTTTAAAATGAGAATGATTTTTACCTTCCTGAGTCCAGGTGATTAAATGAGGTGAATAGTACCAAAAATAAAAGTAATGGGGATGGAGGGGTGGCCAGGGTAAGGCCAGGGTAGAGAGCTCTTTGACCAGCTGTGTCGGGGAATAGTGTGTGTATAGAGTGGCTGGTCTAGAGCCCTGATATCCAAAGTGTGGTCCTTATACTAACAGCACTGGTATCACCTGGGACCTAGTCTGAAATTCAGACACTGAGATTTTACTCCAGATCTACTGAATAAGAATCTGCACTTAACCAAATCCCAGGTAACTTGCACACACATTTGGTTTTTAAGAAGCACTATCCTAGACGTGCAGAAATAGGCTCAGTGGGAGTTCAGAGATGTGGGTTGTGTGGGTGTATCAGAGCTGTCTAGAAGAGGCTAAGGCTGCATGGGTGGAAAGGGGCTGTGGTTGAGGTATGTAGCTGGAGCAGGGGAGGTGTCCTCAGAGGTGTGGGCTGCACAGCTGTAGGAAGTGTCTTTGGGAGAATGTTGGCTATTTGTTGTTTCAGGGCCCCTGCCCCGGGATGCCTTGGGCATGAGTTTGTAACCTTGAGATACCCAGTATCACTTCATCAGCTAGGGGATGACAGGTAGGCAGGGAAAGGCTGAGCCTGGGGAGATCCCAGGACTATCTAGCTCAGCAGGTGAGTGTTGTTTCCCTTGAGAAATGCATAACTAGCACCTGACTGGCTTCATGCTGAAAAGCATGCCTTGAGCTTTTATCAGGCTAGAATCTCCCCTTTGCCTGCTCTTCTATCCCTATGAGGCTCACATCTGCACTACTTTCTCCTTAGAGTTTCAGGTGGGGAGGCACATAGTTTAAATAATTACCCCTCAAAGATCCCAGTGTTAAAGGCTCGCTCCCCAGGTTGGTGCTGTTGGGCAGTAGTGGAACCTTTGGGAGATGGTGCCCTGTGGAATGTCCTTGGGTCACTGGAAGCTTGCCCTCGAAGGCGACTGTGGGATACCAGCCCTTTCCTATTTGCCTTTTTCTGCCTCTGAGTCAAACAATGTGCTGTCCTGTCATTCCCTATCAATGCCTTCCAGTTATTTATATCAGGTATTTTGTTATAGTGAAGGAGACCTGACCAACAAAGAGGTTCATAAGCCATTGTAGAGTTTATCTCTCCTCTTCTCTGACCGCCTTCGTCCTCAGCTGGCCCTCAGCCTTCATAAGGCCCTCAGCCTTGACTGCTCTGCTTCACTGAGCAGGTTGATGAGGGGCTGCAGGCCCTGGGTATGACTGGAGGCACAAGACCTTGTTTCAGCAGACTCCCTCTCTGTTATGCATTTGTAGAACTGTGATCACAAAAACCCTTCCCAGCTAACCACCTAGTCTAGAGCCTCTCTACACTTTTCCATGGGATGATTGTGCATCTCAGTGGAAAAGGAAAAGGCTCTGCTGTACCTGATTCCCCAGAATGAGATGGGCTTAATGCCTTTTGGCAGGGAAGAGGTTGTAGCAGCAGCAACTAAAATTTTTTTCCGTTAAGTTTATTGATACATTTAGAGCAAACAAAACAGTTACATTTATCATTGGGATCTTGTACCTTTACATGATATATCTTGGTTCTTGTTTTTTTCCTCATGCCCCTCCCTTCCCTTCACCCCCTTCACCATTCCCTATTTACAGAGACTTTGTTTCCATTTTTTCACATTTTTTTATTTTCCCTTATTTCCTTTTTGCTCTCCTTCCCACTTCCTCTTTAGCCATTTTCTTCCTATTTCACATTCTCAGTTATACCATTTAAACCTTATTTACACTTTTAGTTTTTTATACCAGAGCAACTATTCAGTATTTACACGTGTGTCCTATTTATTTCACTTAAGACTATAACCTCAATGTGCAACCATTTAGCTATAAATGTTTCTAGTTTTTCATTCTTTATGGCTGAGTAGTTCTCCATTTTGTAGAAAAACCACATCTTCTTTATCGAGTCACCAGTTGATGGGCATTTGGATTATTTCCAGATTTTAGCTATTACAAACTGTGCCACTATAAACATGGGTGAGCATATATCACTATGGTATGATTCTTTTAATTCTTATGGAAAGATACCCAGCAAAGGAATGGCTGGGTCAAATGGAACCTCTAATCCTTGTTCCTTGAGGTATCTCCATATTGATTTCCACAGTGGCTGTACCAGTCTGCACTCCCACCAACAATGGAGAAGGTTCTTTACTCCCCACATACCTGCCAACATTTGTTATTTGTTGACTTCTTTATAGCAGCCATTCTTTCTGGGGTAAGGTGAAATCTCAGTGTTGTTTTCATCTGCATCTCTCGAATGACCAGTGATGTTGAACATTTTTTCATATATTTATTTGCTGCTTTTACTTCTTTTGTATGAGAAATGTGTGTTCATTTCAGATGCCCATTTTTTAATCAGGCCTTTGTATTTGGGGGGGGTCTGTTTTTTTGTTTTGTTTTTTTTGTTTTGTTTTTTTTAGTTCTTTATATATTCTAGATAGGAATCCTCTGCCTGAGGGGTAGCTGATAAAAAATTTTTCCCACATTGTAGGTTGTCTCTTAGCTCTGTTGGTGATTTCTCTTGCACTGCAAAAAAATTTTAATACAATAAGATCCCAGTTGTTGATTTTTTGTGCAAGCTCTCATGCTGCTGAAGGTTTGTTCATAAAGCCTTCTCCTATGCCAATGTCTTTGAGAGTTCTACCTGATTTACTTACTTTCCAGTAAGTTTAGTGTTTCTGTTTTGATATTTAGATCTTTAATCCACTTAGATTTTAGTTTAGTGCATGATGACAAATAGGGATCTAGTTTTGATCTTTGGCAAGTTGAAAGCTAGTTTTTCCAACACCATTTATTAAAAAGGCTATCTTTTCTCCAGTGAGGATGGTTGGCTCCTTTGTCAAGGATAAGGTAGTTGAGTATGTCTGGTGTTGTTTCTATATCTTCTAATCTATTCCATTGATCCTGGGGTCTGTTTCTTTGCCAATACCATGCTGTTTTTATCACAGTGGCTTTGTAGTATAGTTTCAAGTTGGGAATTGTGATACCCCTGTCATGTCTCTGTTGCCTCGAATGGTTTTTGCTATTCTAGGCCTTTTCTGGCTCCAAATGAATTTTTGGATTGTTTTCTCAAATTCTGTTAAATATACTGTTGGGATTTCAATTGTGATTGCATTGAATCTGTATAGAAGTTTTGGAA